CTGGAAATGGGTTTTCCTTTTGCTGATTGCCCTGGGCACCTTGGGCAGTGATGGCATCCACAGTACCTCGGTGGCACCTGCTTGGTGCACCTGACTTCCCTAGATGTGCAGTGTGAAACCAAGGATTTCGGAGCTGAGCAGACCCCAAGTGAAAGCTGTAACCAGGAGAAAGGCCGCTTTCCCAACATTCCTATGGCAACCAGCTTCCCAGGCCCATTCCCGCCTCTCGTGGCTGCTCCCTCCTAGGGGTCAACCAGCCCACAGCCTTGCTGGACCTAGAATTTGCTAGAAGTGCACAGCCCTGGCTCCTTCCAGCCCTGGCACCTGCATTTCAGTAGGATCTCAGGAGCCTCTCTACAAGGCAGGGTGTTGTTTCCTGGGATCTCAGGTCCTGCTGCCGCCTGTGAGTTGCCATGGTCATTTATTTTCATTGCCAAATTGATTTATGCCTGCTGTTCTTTTAGTTATAAACATATTTTCATTTTAAAATTTATTTTTTAATGAGAAGAAATCTAATACATAACATAAAAGTTTTTAAAAGGGATGTTGCTGTATCCATAAAACTTAAGGTGGATGTATTGAAAAGACAGTATAAAAAGGGATAAAAAATATCAGTGCTAGCCAGGCATGATGCTGACCAAGCACCTGTAATCCCAGCTGATACCCAGTTATCACAGTGCTGTTAAATAGTCTGTTCCTTCCCACTGAAGGATCTTGGCATCCTGTGGAAATCAAGTAGCAGTGTATGCACAGATTTATTTCTGCAGTCTTAATCATATGCTATGATCTGTGAGACTGTGACCTCTTGTGAACTTTTATCTATAGTGTACCCTTCTATCAGTACCCCATTTTAAAAATTACTATAGCTTTAGAGTAAGTTTTGAGTTGAGAACTGTATATTCTCCAACTTTGTCTTAAATAGTTTGGTTAAGTTCTGTGTATTGTATATAAAGTTTGTGATTGGCTTTTCCATTCTGAAAAAAGAAGACAGAGGCTACCAGGAGTTTGATAGGGATTACACTGACTCAGTAGATCCATTAGGAGAGTATGGCTATCTTAACAATATTAGGTCTTCCAGTCAATGGACAAATTATGCCTTTCCATTTATTCAGGTCTTTTTTACTTTCTTTCAACAGTATTTTATAGCTTTCAGAGCATAAATCTTGCATCTTCTTAGTTAAATTTGTTTTCAATTATTTTTTTCTTTTAAATACAATTGTAACTTGAATTGTTTTATTAATTTCCTTTTCAGATGGTGGTTTCTAGTGCACAAAATATAACTCATTTTTTTGTGTCTGCTGACCTGCTGCTCACTGATTCATTTATGAGCTCCAATAATTTTGTGAGGATTCTTTGGTATTTTCTATATTTAATATCATACCATCTGTGAATAGACATGGCTTTTTTCTCCTCTATTATTTGAATGCCTTGTATTTCTTTTTCTTGATTAATTGCTCTGGGCAGAACACTCACTAAAATGTCAAATACAAGTGGCAACACCCTTGAAATCAAGGAACAAGAAATCTTTGTCTTCTTTTGATATTAAGGAGAAAGCTTTCCATTTTTCACTGCTGAGTGTGTGGTTAGCTATGGAACTTTTCATAAATGCTTTTATCATTTTGAGGAAGTCTCTTCTATTTCTAGGTTAGCGAGTGATTTATTTTAATCATGAAAGAGTATTGAATGTTTTCCAATACTATTTCTGCATTAACTGATCATATGGTTGTTTCTTTTTTACTGTTATTCTATTAACTGTGAATTGCATTGATTGGCTTTGTTACTTGGAACCACGCTTGCATTTGGGAGCTACATCCTGCTTGGAAATGGTACACAATTCCTTGAATATTGTTATAGTTTATATCCAGATGTCTCTTCAAAGCCTCATGCACTCATAGAAGGGGCTTTTAGGAGGTGATCAGACCATGGGGTGTGACACTCATCAGTGCATTAGTCCCTGATGAGTTTGTAAGTAAATGTGGTGTTGGGAAGTAAAGCCTCTCCTGAGGAGGTGAGGCATCAGGGGCGAGGCCTGAAGGGTTCAGCTCCCTCCCTTTGTCCTTGATCTCTCTCTGCTTCCTACTGCTGTGCCTCAAGCTGTTTCCCTTCTGCCATGCACCTCTGCCATGCCACCCTGCTTTGGGGCCAGCTCAGCCTATGGAATGGAACCTCTTCAAAGTGTGAGCTAAATAAACCTGTCCTAAATTGTGTCTGTCAAGTGTTTTGTCCCAGCAACAAAGAAGAGATACTAATAAATAATAAATAATGTGGAAATTAAACAACTCATTCTTAAATGCCAGTGGATCAAAGAAGAAATTTAAAAGCAGTCCAATGTTCAGGCTGTGGTATGGGTCCTGCTAGTTGCTGTTAGCCAGATCTACATTCAAAATAAGACACAACTGCTATTTCACCAGGAAGGAAACGCCAAAATTCATTAGTCCACTACCTGTAATGGTGGAAAGAATTAAGTTCATGAATCGAGGTGCCACTGTATCTTTTCTTTCCTCTCTCTATTTGAATGCATTTGCATCTTTGTATCTAAAATGAGTCTTTTGTAGACAGTAAATAATTGACACTGGTTCCTCTATCCATTAAGTGACTTTTATTTTTTTATTTATTTAAAGAAAAAAAGGCAAAACAGAAAAAAGGGTAGAAGTAATACAGAATTTCAAAGAAAAATATTAACCTTAAGAAACTACTAGTTAGGGCTGGGGATTTAGCTCAGCGGCATAAGCACCTGCGTTGTGAGCAGGCAGTCATGAGTTTGATCCCCGTACCGGTTAAAAAAAAAAAAAAGGGAAAAGAAACTACTAGTTAATAAGCTACATGTTGTCCTCTTGGAAATAGTTGTTTAAGTTACAATATCACAGCATAAAAAGTGGACACTCAAACATTGACAGTGTAAACCATTCTGTTCAATAATCTAATGGAAACTCAGTAATATGGTCATCTATCCCACACACTTAAATGTCCACATAGTTATACCCTTCAAAGCACTTTCCTTTCCTTCATTTTTACAATATCTGTTATGTATTTTGGATCTTATTACCCATTTAGTTTTTGTAATTTTTTACACTAGAGAGAAAATGTGATATTTACAAATGTGAGACTTCTTTCACTTACGACATTAAGTGACTTTTAAATGGAAAACTTGATTCATTTACATGTTACTTAAAGGTTTGTTCCAGATATTAGATACATTTTTACTCAGTTTCATCATTACTGCCTTCTTTTGAATTTATTTTTTTTTAGTGTTCAATTTCTGGTCTGCTTTTTAGTCATTTTCTTAGTGGTTACTCTGAGATTCACAATGAATATTTTAATTTTTAAACACTGTAGTCTGAATTAATATCAACCCAGATTAAAAAGTGTATAAATATCCTGCTGATCTTCAAAATCAAATTTTCTTTACATATTTTTATGATGGGTGCTGAAGCAAAGTCTTTTTTTATGTTTTTTGAATCCTTCATTGCCTCAAATTAAATCATTAACCATACCTTAAAAATCTAAGCCTTCTTTTCATCTAATACATTTTAGGAACTTTGTCTTTAAAATATTTTTTATAAAGCAGAAGTGAGAAAGTATAATTATCAGGGGTTCTTTTGTTTTTGTTTTGGTACCGGGGATTGAACTCACGACCTCATGCTTGCCAGGGAAGTGCTTATGCCACTGACCTAAATCCCTGGCCCCACGTCAGATTATTTTTGAAACACTTGGTGACTTGTGTTTCAATATCTTGCCGACAATATGTGATTCCACAATTTAATTATCAGGTTTTAAAGTTAAATAAAAGTAACTCTCATGTAAAACTGTGCGTTCACAAATAGTTGATAATAAACAAGTGTGAAAGAAGATGGCATCTACTCTTGTACAGTGGATAAATCTCAGCATATTTCTGTCGTGCCAAGACACAGTGGCACAAGTGCATTCATCTCAGAGGATGTGACAAATCATTGGTTCTGTCTTGGTTACTGTTTTTGTTGCTGAGACAAAATACCTGATACCCAACGTTAAAGGAGAAAGGATTTACTTCTGGGTACAGTTTGGAGAGGTTTCAATGTGTGGTCTCCTGGACTCGAGGCAGGACAGTGTGGAGGAGGGGCACGGCGGAGAAGAAACAGCACCCAGCAAGGCAGGCAGGAAGCAGCAAGCAGCTGCAGGCCTCCCTTTTTCTTTTATCTCATGCAAGCCTTTGGGTGATGTCACCCACACCCAGGGTCCCCATCACCTGCACCTAGAGCTATGGTAAACCAGTTAGTGGACTACCCAGTACCACACACTCCTACCCCAGCGTGACACCCTCACCGCACAATCCACACACCCTAGATCCAGAACCTCCAAAAGCCTAACCTCTGATCATGAGAGGCTTTGGGGGATATCTAGATACAAGTCATAATGGGTTTTAAAGTTAAATGCCTAGTTTGAGAGTCACCAGTTTTACATACATAACAGATAAATGATGCGAAGAACTTTAACTACATAACAGCAGAAAAAATACTGCAACGAAACAGGAAGTGTCACATCTCCACAAACTACACGCAGGATTTTACACTCAAGGAAAGCTTTGCCCCTGCCTGGTGCTGCCCACACCCGCTGGCAGCTGTCCAGCATCCACATGCACACTTCCAGGACCAACTCCCCAGAGTGGCTCACTCCACTTGGGAGCAGTGTAGTAGCTGGGAAATCCTTTCTCACACTGGGCTGAAATCAGTCCATCTTCACCCATGGCCCTAGTTGTCAGAGTAAGTTAGACTCTTCCTGTACTTGGAAAGCTCCCAAGGAGCTGCTCTTCCCAGGCCTGCTCTGAAAGCCAAGCCACGGCCTCATTTCCTCACACCTTGCTCAGATCACTGCCAGTGCTTCTGCTCACAGAGCTATTCCTGGGCTTTTGGTCAAGCTCTGGCTTGACAAGTTGACATTTCTGTGAAACACTGAATAAAATGTCATACTTGTACGTTGTTGTAGTCAGGGGTTGTACACAGAGAACAATTCAGGTCAGGACATGGAGTTTATAATATTTTTATAATGGTCACTGAAAGTTAACACAGGAGAATGCAGGAAATCTATCCACAACACCAACGACATAGATTATTTAAGTCAAGAGCCTAATCCCCACGGCAATGTTCCACATGAGTCCAGATAAAAACCCAGAGCTCAGAACAATGCCTCCACGAGTCCAACTGGAAGTCCAGAGCCCACAAGAAGGACTCATGCCAGTCTCTTTTACGGATTCGTGCCAGGAAGACCCAAGGGTCAGCGGTGGAAGCCAGAAAGTCTATGCCAGCAGGATGAAGGAGCTGTGCTAGTGGGATGAGGGTTCTACACTGGAGCTGAGAAGTCACACTCACAACAAAGAGCGAGGCTGTCCTGAAAGGAACCACAGCTGTCCTCAGCGACATGGAGGCCCCGAGCTCCTCCGGCGACAAGCACAGTCGGGTACCTGCCAGGAAGCAGTGTGACGAATTCACCCTGGAGACCAGGCAGCTCATGTCTTCCCCTCCGGAGCCAGGAAGCAATGCTCGATGTGAAGACCAAAGCTTCTCCAGGAGAACCAACAGCTCAGACAGCAACTTGTAAGAGAACTAACAATGCCTCCATAACGCCTCAATCCCTCTAGACACCTCTCTTCTTCTCCACCTATTTATCCTGGCAGCCCTCCTCAGGTGGAGCATCTTCTCTCAATTCATGCTGATGTAATCCAGCTGGCGTTAAGTTGACCACTAGTTATCAAACCATAACATACGTGGGCCTATGAATATGATATTGTGTTACCACCTCCCTGCTGTGATAGGACCTTCAGGGTCCCCAAAGCTTTGGGTAGTAAAGCTGGGTCCCTAAAGTGGGACTCTTGGGAGGTGGGGCCAGGGAGCAGTCTCTTAGTGGTTGAGGAGGTGTCTCAGAGGGGATCGTGGGACCCATCTCTTCCTCTATCTCTTTCACACTCTGGCTATGAGCGAGGTGATTCTGTTCCTCCATGCCCTCTTGCTTCACAGTCCCAAGCCAACAGCCCAGCCACTTGGACTGAAACTCCAAAAATGTGAGGCCAGATAAAAATTTTCTCTTTATAAGTTGAATGCCTCAGGTATTTGACAGACTAACAAAAATCTAACATATTTCCCTCCCATGGATCAATTCTGTCTGAATCCATTATGATTTGTAAATAAGACAACATTCATTTTATAGATTGATGTCCTTGAAGATTTAGAAAGTAAAGTTATTTCTTTTATGTTACATGGTGTATAATTCCAAAGATTCAACAGATCGTTGACAGAAGACGTTGAGATTCCTAGCATTCTGAGGAGAAGCAGTTTATGGATATAGTTGCTATGTGTATTTAGAAGGGATTTGAAGGTAGTGTCAGCTCTGTCTCCCTTGTAGCTGGCATCCATGAAATGCATCATAAATGATACATCAAATAGCAGATACTGCATGAAGATGCTTGTTAAAATACCTTACCTTTGACAGACCTAGTGCTCAGTAAAACTCAGACAGACCTAACTGTGATGGGAAAGCTCAGTCTTCATGGTACAGGGTTGGGAGATCAAGAAAGTTGGGAAGACAGGACCAGCAGGTTTTATTCTGTGAGGCACCAAGGAGCTTTTTGGGTTGGGCATCTTTTCAGGGGAAGGTAAACAAGGGAGCTTCACTGTGGGCTGGTAGGGATCGACTGTATTTATACTACAAGGCAGGGCTATAAATTTATCTTTTGCTTATCTTCGTGTTTTATTGTTTGTGCTTCTGAATGGATGACCTGTTTTCTTGGTTTTCAACTTATTGTGTTAGTTTGGATAGTATGGTTAAACTGTTTGAGTTCTTTAATTTGCAATCAGAATATCTTGATTTACTTATTTATATCCTACTTTATTCCTAAAATGATTCAAGGCAGCTTATGGAAATACCTACAACTCAACAAAACCAATCAGAACGTAAAAATAGCTGAGGACATCTGGACGACCAGAGAGTTGGACTGTGGAAAGAACAGAGATCCAGATGCGTCCTTGGTGCACTGGGGATGTGCTGTCAGATAACAGCCCTACTAGAAGTAAGCCTGCTTAGTGCCATGGGTTTGGGAAGCTAAAGTGGAAACAGGACTTATAATGCCATGTGACTTGAACAAATTAATTGCTCAAGAATAATAGTGAATGTTTCTGACAGCAGAGAGATCTAGCTCTCCTTCAGGGAAGGTATCCAAGGAAGGAGGGCCCACTTGTCCCCAGCATGGTCCCTCAGTTCTGTCCGAGAATGTAGATGCCAAGGGATCCCTGCCGGCCCCCTCTGACCTGGAGAGTGTGATGAGGGCACCTGTGTTCCCCACTCCAGTTCTGCCTGCATCTGTCCAAGCACGGGAGACTGTCACTTACATTTACAGCCCGGGACCCATCTGAACTTAGCCTTCATTGGTCCGGGGCTGTTAGAAAACGCATCTTTGCTATGTGTGCCTTTTAAGTCAGAGCCCTGCGTTCGGCCCAGAGCTGTGCCTTTTCCAGGCTATGTTAGCAAACTTTGACTTTCATCTATCTGTTAGATCTAATTACGAGAATGAACTGAAGAGACTTCCCATAAAATAAAAGTGAGGTGTTGTTCCATGCTAATGGAAGGTTGCCCGTGGAGGGAGATTCCTGGGGATGCAAGTCATAAACACAAGGGCTCTTGAACAGGAGGCCTCTTTCCCATCAAAGGCCTGAATTATTTGTCTCCGGAAGTCATCTGTGATTACTGTGGGTATTATTGGGCGTCAGTTGATGCTCAGATGTTTGCAGAGCGTTCTGCTGGATGTTCGATTGACAGCTTCGTTCAGCCCGTCCAAGCCTATATAACCCGAAACTGCTCACCTGGCTGGCAGAATCATGTGCTGCACAGCCCATGTGGAGGTGCCCTTGCTTTTGAAAACACATCCAAGGATGCTCCTGGATGAGATGCTGTTGGGCCGGGATGCGGGGCAGGGAAGAGCTCCTCTTCCTGTCCACATAGTGGGTCCTGGTGTGGCAGCCTGGGTCTCTCAGTTGCAGACTGCCTGAGGCAGTGTCCCCGCCCTCACACCAGCTCTCTCGCTGGAGGCTGTGACGCCCAGGTCCCTCCTGCCTTGCTGTCTACCTCCATCCACCCCTGGCCTTGCAAGGAGTCATGGGGACTCCAGCAACCAGTGGTGGTTCTGTCCCAGTGACCCAGTGGTCACTCCTGGCTACCCAAAAGTGAGGTGACACCCCAATGGGAGCCCCCGACACACCCCTCCCCATCACCCCCACTTTCTGCAGGACCCCCTTGTCTGCCCACAGAGCTGGTGTCTAATGGGCCTTAGCCAGGTCGCCCTTTCTGTGAAGAATGCCCCTGCTGTCCCTAAGAGTGGATGTGTGTAGCTGTGCATTTCTGTGTGTATGTGTGTGTCTCGGGTACTTTTGTTTCCGTGTGTGGAGTCTGGCTGTGCCTCTGTACCAGTGTCTCTGTGAGTCTCCTTGTGCATCTCTGTGTGTCAGCAAGACTGTGTGTGTTGCTGGGGCAGGTGTTTCCTGGGGTCTTTCCCTGTGTCTTAGAACACCCCCCCCCAGGGCTTTAGCTGAGCCTGCTCTTGCCTGGTCACCCCCCACCTGCCACCTGCCAAACAGGTGGCTACAGCTCAGAAGTCCCTTGCACAATACCTCAGTTCCCTGTGGGGTCGATGGCAGCCTAAGCCAGATGTAGGAGCCATTGGGTTGCAACACACCAAGGTGAGCTCTGTTTTCTTTTTCAATGACATTTTAAAGAAGCCTTTGACCTCCCCTTCAGGCACTTGCCAGCCAAGAGGTCACTAAAACAGTCTGCTTTTGCTGCTATCTGTGGCTCTTCCTCAGTGAGACAGGTCCTTCAGCTATCCCCAGATAATCACAACAGCCATGAGTTAAAAATATGTATAAACGAGATCAGTCTCCAGATGTGAAGATTCGTGTCGCAGCTCCCACCCAGTGGCTGTGGCTTCCAGAGCTGTCTTGGCAGTTTGGGATCAACCTTAGAGCCACCTCTCGGATTTTCTCGAGGCTCTGGGGTCCCCCCACGTCCGCCCCTCCCATGCCTCCCTGTGCCTCCCCTCCTGGGGTCTTTCTGCTGGGTGTCAGTTTTCTCATTTGCAATTCTAGAAACTATGATTTATCCTTATCCCTGTTGTTGCAGAGCAAGCTCCTTGGAAGGGCAGGCGTGGTCAGGTCCCCGCATACACAGGCTGCAGGCTAAAGTACTCTGGACTAACGCAGGTACCCCACAAGGGCCACTCAGCCCCTCCAACCTGGAGGCCTGGCTCTGCTAATAACTGATCCAGACAGGACTGGAAGCTGCCAAACACTACAAAATTTGACCAGAGAGCAAACATTTCATCAGAGCTCTGGCAGCCAAATTAACAGAACTTTAGCTTCAAAAACTATCCTGTGAGCTAACTCAAAGATACTCACTGTGTGTGAGACTTGTAGACTTTTTCCTAATGTGAATGTGAGCTGAATTTTCACTCTAAGATTTAAAACTGTCAAGGGCAAAGTTAATTGCAAATTCTTTCCTGAGCCAAAAGCAGTGGTTTTCAATGCTTGCCTATGAATCAGAAAGGAAATCATTCACTCAGGCAGGAAAGAGGAGCTCATCTGGGATAGTCATGTCCTGATAGACCCAGGACACACGCAGAGGTCCGCGTCCTCTCCATCTAGTGTCCAAAGCACACAGGATTCTTCCTGAACCTCGCTGGCCTGGACTGGCCAGAGCTGCATTGGGCACTGAGCCACCACTATGAGGGCATCTAACATCACCAGGCCTGGGTACCTGGCTGATGAGAGACACCTTTAGGTTGTTAAGCTCTGCCACTTTTACCCCCTTCTGCTTTTAACACACAGGACGTAGCAGAGGATACAACAACGGAGCGCTGTCTCCAGTGTCAGAGACAGACTCTGCAGGCTGGAACAGGCGGCTTTCTTTCTTGGTTAGTGCTCTGTTAGGCTACAGCCCGGTCTTGAACTTCAAAGTCACCATCTCCACATTTCAGTTCTACCGTGGGAAATGCTGCATCCTACAGAGAGACTCAGAAGCAGAGACTGGAGCAGCAGGCTTGCTGGGGCTGTGGATGCTGGCCACCCCACTCTGGGTGGGGTAGGGGGCAGCAGGAACAGCGCAGTCTGGCAGTGCAACAAGTACTGCGCCCTCATGTGGCCCATGAACCTCTCAGTGACATGCACCGGCCTGCAAGGTGAAAGCTGCCAGCTCACTATCCACCGGTCCTGTGGCTCACTATCCCCTGTACTGTGCTAGCAGTGGCAGGAAGCCAGCCAAGACAGAAACAGTCATGCAGATGTGTCCTGAAAGTGACAGGGCCCAGGGAGAGTAGAGGGGAGCTGGGGCCGACAGACCCGTCCGCAGAGAAGCCTGGGCCTGGTGCTCGGTGGGGACACTAGGCGCAGGGCTGTGCATCTGTGGAAGGTGTGAGCTGGAGAGGAGGGCCTCTGAGTGGGCACTGGGGGGCCTACCACCCGCTTCGGAGCCTGGCTCCCAGCCCTGCCTGTCACCCTCGCTTTACTGTCAGCTTCTGCTCTCAGTGCTTCTTGCCTTTTTCAGGCAGTTCCCGAGGACCACAGGGTGGGCACTGCACATGTACCTACTGACCCCACACTTGGTCATGCTGGCTGACCTCGAGAAAGAAGCCACTACAGTCCTTCAGCAGAACCCTCTGCTGCACCAGCCAGCCACATCCACCTCAGCAGCAGGCCCCTGGGCCACTGGGCAGAACCCAAGAGCCACGCCTAGGGTGAGTCTGCACCCTCAGGAACTGGTGCATTTTCTCCTATCCATGGGAGACCACTGAGCCCAGGACAGGTGTGACAGCCCAGGACATCTGTGCCCTAAAGTGTATGCTGCAGAGGGGTGGTGGGTGACATCATCTTGGGTCTGAGGATTCACTACACCAAGAAGACCTGATTTCCTAATGTTACCCAAGCTCAAGAGGCCCCAGAGAGTCACTATGATAAATGTCCCCAAAATACCTGCGAAGATCAGGTTACAGGGCCAGGGGCAGCTCGGACGTGAGAGGCTCTTGGCCAGACTGGCAGCACAACAGCTGCCCCTGATGCTCCCCGGGGCCCTTGTGCCTGCTTGGTCCCAAGGTGCCCAGTGCCTGCCAAGTGGAGAAGTAGGGCAGATTTACAGGCAGAAAAAAAGAAAGAAAAGAGGCCAGGGCACTGCCCATAAGCACTGCAATATTCCTGGCATGCAGGGGCAGCATATCGCTCTGGGACAGTGCATGTGCTTGATGGCCGAGCCAGCAGGGTGGGCTTAGAGTCCATCCTGCACCTGGCTGCCTGTGGCTCCAGAGGATTTTCAGTCCCCATGCTGGTAGGACCTCACACTGGCCGGCTGCGAGGGACACCAGGTCCTCCCCAAGCACAGGGTGGGCTCTGTGCTGTGTTACTAACCCAGGGCCCCACGGGAAACCAAGCAAAGTGACAGAGCTGCTGAAGCCTGTATGGGAGGGAGCATTCATGCTGGGACCACAGCACCACCTGCTGGGCATGCAGGGTGCTAAGTGCTGCCCCAGGGGCCAAGGGTGCTGCTGCATTGCAGCTCAGAAAAGCAGGGAGCAGGAATTGGAGAAGCAGGTCAGGGGACTTCTTGGCAGGATGGCCTAGAGGTAGAGGCCAGGGGAAAGGTGGCCGCAGCCTCTTTGCCATGGTAGCCCCAGGGTGGCTGGGCTGTCTGGGGCTCCTGAGCCCAGCTTTGTGTCTCCTGATGGGAAGTAGGGATGGCCTATGCCTTAAGGTGGTGCCCTGAAGACGGCCCAGGTCACTTCTCCCAGGTGCCTTAGGTCAGTCACAGAAAACACTCCCTCTCAGAGCAGGGGAGAAAGACTGAGGAAGGGGTGGGGTCCTAAGATATCCTTCAAGGCCACACCCCAGTGATCTCACTTCTTCCCATGAGGCCCCACCTCCTAAAAGCTCCACCCCTCCCCTCATAGATAGGGGCTAAGACTTCAACACAGGAACCTCTGAGGGACACCCAGAGCCTAACCTCCACAGTTGACACTTCTGATCTGCCACAACATTATTATAGAGGAAACAAGCTCACAAAAACCAGATCATATATGTATTATATGAAACATAGCTGAGCACTGGAGTGTGAGTGACAGTGTTCCCTCTCTTTCTGGCATAGAGCTCTGCTTGCTTAAAATGTGGACATTTTGTCTCATGAGATAACACAAACCACTTTCCTGATGGGATCTAGCACATGACAGAGCAAATCATCTCATTACGTTTTTGTTTGTTTGTTTATTTATTTATTTATTTTGGTACCAAGGATCAAACTCATGACCTTGTGCTTGCCAAGGAGGCATTTGTGCTGCTAAGCTAAATCCCAGGCCCCTAGTTACCTTTTTAAATAAATTACACTACCAACTGTGGTACCCTAGCCCCATGAATATGGGACTGCAGAGTCTAAAACCTCTCTTCAATTTCAGAGGTTGTTCAAGGTAAAACAAGGGGAACAAATGCAAGTGAGTAAAATCACAAATATAAATGCGAAGTACCTGGCTCAGCATAGGCTTTGCTCCCCAGAGGACAGAAATATATTTACATTATGAAATAAGCTGGAGCCCAGTGGGAACTCCTTATTATTATTAGATTTCTTCTTGAGAAGGATTTATAAATGAAAGCACAGTTTGCTATTTTAGTATTTTGTTTTTTAGGGAAGAAAAACTCTTTGCAAAAACAATTTCAAAGGAAAAATCATCCATTTGAAACACTTGTTTATTTTCTTATTTGCCAGGCTAAAGCTGTCTCCTTTCATGTCTGATTTTGTTGTGGGGTTGATTTTTTTTCCCTGTCTGCAAATCTGGAAGGTCTCCTTTCATTTATGAGCAGTGCTGGATCCTTCCTTTTTCACCAGGCCATTCTGGGCCCAGCACCTCCTTCTGCCATAACTGTGGGTCACCAGTTCCACCCAGTGGGCAGACAGGGAGAGACAGGGTGAGAGTCAGGTCATCAGCCATGGTCACCGGGGCCCTACTAACCACCACATCAAGGCTTCACTGGCACTGGCAGTTCACAGCCTGAGCTCCTGTTGGCCTTTCCTCTCCGTCCTGCAGACTTATGTCTCTGTTTCCAAGGAACTGGGGGAAAATGTCCACTGCTGCTTCCAGAACAGGACATCCTGTGGGCTTTGGCAACTTCATGTGGGAATAAACTTTATCTTATGTCATTGATCATTAGCACTTATTAACATTTATTGAGTTTACTACCATTTATTAGTTTCAAATCACACACATGAAGAGAAACTGCAAAAGATGTCTTCTACAGATTTTTCAATTTCAATTCAATTTTTCAATTTCGGTTTTGCACATCTGTGATCAATCCTGACCAGGGATGCCCCGTGGCTTGGTTCTATCAGTCCCCTGGTCTCCTGTTGGCCTCTGCTGCCTTGACAGCCTCCCAGCCAACCCCAAGGACAAGCCTGGCACACACTGCTGCCCTATAGGTGGACCTGGTGGCCCAGGGCTCAGGCTGCCACCTGCTGGGGTCTCTGTGTGGGGTAATCACCTGTCCCATTCCCGTGGCACCCGCACATCCTGCTGTGTTTTCACTCCTGCTGTCGCATGCCCACAGGGTGAGTCTGCCCCAGCAGCCTTCCCCAGAGTTGCTGCCATGCACATCTCCGCCTAGCTCACTCTCAGCATTCACCAGGGCGGCAAAGGTGTGCTGCCAGAGGGATTTAAAATAAAACACACATTATTTTAAAAGCGTCATTATGGAAGGGAGGCACATCTTATTTCACCTTTGCATAATTTGCATTTGCACAAAATGTAGCCACACATTCCTCAGAAAGGAAACAATTGGGCCAGAGGCTTCTCGCACAGTGTCTCAGAGTGAAGACAAGTGCCTGGTGCTCGGTGCCATGCAGGGTCTCACCCTGTGAGGCCAGCACCCACAGGGACCCATGGGAGTGGTCTGAGCTGTGAGGTGGCTCTGGGAGGGAGGAGTGGTTGATTGTGTCTCTTTAGGACTGAAAGGTAACAGAATTCTCTACAGCTGGAGCCAAATGATGGGTCTCATGAATGGGCAGCACTTAGCCACCAAGCTAAGTAAGGAAGCCAAGACAGATGGAGAAGAGGTCCCACTGTGAGCCGCGACTGTCACCATGGATGCGGAGGATACGGGGAGCTGGTGCTTTCCAGGCAGGGAGAGAAGGACCAGGAGAACAGGGAGCTGAGGGTTTGTGCAAGGGAGACTAAATGCTGTTGGTTAATAAAGTAGGCTGTGTAAACGCACGCGAGGGGTGGCTGTGATTGCCTCTCTGGCATTGTAACAAATAGTTGAGCCTTATAGAGAGGAAAGTTGATTTGGCCTCTAGCTCAGAGATTTGGTCCACGGTCCAGTGGCCCAATGTTTTGGGGACTGTAGAGAGGCAGCGAATCAGGCAGGAACTCGCGGGCGAGGAGGCCACTCTTGTTAAAGAGCCGGAAATGAGACACGGAACAGGACACAGGGTCCTGGATGCTTCAGTGATCCCGCTCTCCCGCCAGGCCCCGCCTTCTGTAGGCTCCCAGCCTCCAAGAACACCAGACAAAAGTCCTGATCCGTACTCACCAAGCCTTCGAGGGAACCTGAACCGATTCAAGCGCTTCCGCGTTGCGCCTGCGACCTTTGCAGGCGGAGCTTCTATGGCTCCCTTTGGCTTCGCTGTGGCAAGTTTGAGCATTTCGAGCCTCCGTAGGCGCCCACGGTCCCCGGCATCCTCTGCGCCGTCTGCGCGCTGGTCCCGGCGTCTTCCTCGCCGTCCCGTAGTTGCTGCTTGATCTTCAGGGCTCCGGACGGCGTCGTTCTCGCCCCACCTCAGGGACTGGACCCGAGGATGGCGGCCCAGAAAATAAACGAGGGGCTGGAGCACCTGGCCAAGGCAGAGAAGTAGTGAGTGAGCCTGAGTGCGGACGCGGGGCCCCTTCCGACCGCGACCCGGGCAGCTCTGGCGGGCTGGAGGGCGGGCGCGCAGACCGCTAGGCCGAGGGGCCTCAGGAGCCCCGCCGCGTCCTGGCTGGGGGCCTCGCGAGCGTCGCAGCGGCAGGTTAGCTGGGTCGTACGCTTCTCAGCGGGTGGTAGGAAAAATAGGCCAGGAGCTTAGAAGAGCAGATTTGATTTTCTCTGTTTTCTAAAGATTCTGGTCTGCAAATGTAGTTAATTGATAACGTCTGTTAAATGTGTCTTTCTTTCATTCTAGCCTAAAAACGGGTTTTTTAAAATGGAAGCCAGACTATGACAGTGCCGCTTCAGAATATGGAAAAGCAGGTATTTGTGACTGTAATACTTCTGTTGCAGCGTGCAACCCCTAAACAATCTGATAGCTTTGTGTCATTAGGGTGCTTATGCTTAATGTTTACCATGAGGCTTTAATATTTAAAAAAACAGAGCAACTGCTTCAGTTTCTGCATTTTTTTCCAGTGGTATGGAGAAGACAGCTCTCAGGAAGTTTCTCAGAATTTATAAGATAGTATCTTAGGGCTACTCTTCCTTGTTTTGCTGTACTGATTACAGTTGTTAAATGTCTGGTTATACTCTAGTCTATCAGTAAGATGCCTTTTTCATACATACACAAGCTGTATAAGGGCTTTGGTTTTGTTTTTGTTGTTTTGGCAGTACCAGAAGGGAACCCAGGGCCCTCTCCCACTGAACTATACCCTCAGATCACCAGCCCATTTTTCCACTTTAGTTGAGTTGAGTTTGTTTTGAGTCAGAGTCTTGCTGTGTAGTCTAGGCCGGCCTTGAACTCTCAGCAGTCTTGCCTCATTATCTCATGTGCTGGGATTGTAGGTGTTACCACCATGCCTGACAAAGCTATACTTTGTAGCCCAGGCTGGTCTTGAACTCACAACAGTCCTCCTGCCTCAGCTTCCCAAGTCCTGGGATTACAGTCGTGTGCCACTGTGCCCAGCAAAAGCTTTTTTAAAAAAGAGATGCATTACTAGACGTTTATTTGAATCTGCCAAGAGGGAGAATTTATTGTAAAATTAAGTATATATTGGTCTTCAGTTTCCAGATAATTTAATGAGCCACAACAAAAGCAGTGTTTCTGTTGAGCAATGCAGAGCTGCTGCAGTGAGTTGCAGTCTTGTGACTGAAGGCCCTGCCTAACACTTGGGAGCTCTGGGGGTGCTGGCCTTGGGATTCTGGGTTTTTGAGTGGATGTAGTACTGCTGTATTGCCAAAAACAAAATGAAACAAAACAAAACCAAAAACCATTGAAAAGACTTAGGAAATACTGATAATCAGACACATTGTAAGGGAATTCCTTGAGAAAGAAATGTCTCATAGTTTTATGCAGCTTCCCAGGTACTCGAAATCGCTAATGTATTTGTGATACTTCATGTAAAATGCAGATTTCCATAATGGTTCATTGGAGACTCTTTAAATGATAGAAATAGAAAGTCCCTATATGTAGATGGATACATTTATTTTGTTGTTGTTTTGTTTCAGCTGTTGCTTTTAAAAATGCCAAACAGTTTGAACAAGCAAAAGATGCGTGCCTGAGGGAAGCTGTGGCCCATGAAAATAACAGGGCGTATCCTTTTCAGCCTTGAAAAAAGTTTTTGAAAAAATAGATAACTTTAACAGAAACTTACTTTCTTGTACTATAAGTTTGTTGCATGCAAAGTAAAATACTTTTAAATTAGAAAATGGTTGGATTTTTAAGCTCTGAAGAGACATGTGGATCATGAGGTCCACAGTGGTTTCCGGAGCTGCACTTGAGAGTGTATTTTCTATTATAGTTCTATTATAGTTTGCTTGACAATGGTTTTACTTGAGATGAAGGAACACATGCTGAAGAATGAAGTATAGTACATTTATTGAAAGTGTATACACTTACATACATTCTTAAAAATACAGTCTAACTTAAAAATGAGTTTTTAGGTGGTTGTGAAAACATTTCGTAGGGCCGGGGATTTAGTTCAGCGGCATAAGCGGCTGCCTTGCAAGGCTGTGGTTGTGAGCTCGATCCCGGTACCAAAAAAAAAAAAAAAAGATTTTCTAACGTATCTTAAAATTAATATTTTTTAAAAATTTTATTTAAGGAGAAAAAGAAAAAAACAAAAAGGGTATAAGTTAAACAGAATTTCAAAAAAAAAATAAACTAGGAAATCGCTAGTTAATAGATTACATATTGTCATCTTAGAAAAAGTTGTTCAGGTTACAAAATTAAAGCATATAAAGTGGACATTCAAACAGTGAGACTGCAAACAGTTCTGTTTAACAATCCAACAAAACTCAGTAATATGGTTATCTATCTTATAAACTTAAATATACATGCAGTTATATTTTTAGTGCTTTAGAGCACTTTCTTTTCCTCTCTTTTTTACAGTGACAATTACACATTTTGGGTTTTATTACTCCCACAGATCTTATTACTTTTTTTTTTTGAAAAAAAAGTAACCGACAAAGATTTTTTGAAAAAAATAAAACCAAAAGTGACATAATGAAACAGAGTCAGTCAAATCAAAAAGGACATAGTACATAATGTAAAAACAGAATACAAGGTGATCAGCAATGGTTACCATAATGCCTCTTGCTATCTTAAAAAGAATTGCCTATATCATAATATAATCAATAATAAAATTGAACAAAACAGTAAGAATAAAACCAATAAAACCAAAACATTGGAGACATTACAAGAAGATAATAGTCAAACCAGAACGGGCATCATACTGAATCTTATTGTCTTCACAGTTGTTGCCTATACTCTCAAACTTGGTAGTATCAAGCAAAACAGAATAGAGGAAAATCAGTCAAAACAAGATGGTGAGAGCAATACAGGGTTTCAAATCAAGTTAATAGGAAATCAAAGTGGGTTACTATAATATATCCTGTTATTTTTTATTTATTTTTTCCCTTAATTAAAAAGATAAAAATAAAAAGAAGGAGATTGAGATAAAAGAGGACATAACAACAAAACAGCACAGGTCAGAACATAACCATTTAAGCAAAATAGTGTTTCACCGCAAGATAGCCCAACATAAAAGTAGTTCATAAGTGTATCCTTGAAATCTTTGAATATAACTTTGTATACTGTAGCATCAAACATATCAAGACAATGTAAAACCATTCAAGAGAATGACAGTATTACCGGGTATTCAAAACCAACTAACAGAAAATGAACAATGGTTTCTGTATTATCTCCTTGTCTATAAAAGTTTTTGTTTATATTATCACATATAATAAAATCCAATAAGATACAACATGTTAAGACCAATGGAGACAGAAGAACAAAAACTTGATGGGACTTCAAAACAAGATGATATTAAATCAGCACTAGCTATTATGATGTCTTGTTTTCTCCAAAATAGCTGTTCATACCATGCAACTTTCTCTGCCTCATTTCTGTTGGGCTCTTTTTCTGTCACTAGTTGTCAGTTTGTCTTCTTCATTTCACTTTCTGCTCCATTCATTGTGGCCTCTCTGCCACTGTTTCTGGAATTTGGTATTTTTCTCTTTTAGAATGTCCTGCAGTATTCTCTGTAGAGTTGAATTGGTGGTTGCAAATTCCCCTAGTTCCTCTTTATCCTGGAAGCACCTTATTTCTCTACTAATTTCTAGGGACAGTTGTGCAGGATATATCAGGATATATCAATCTTGGCTGGAGGTTATTTTCTTTCAAAGCTTGAATTATTTCGTCCCACACTCTTCGTGATTTGATGGTTTGTGCTGAGAAGTCTGCTGTAATTCTGATGGGTGTTCCCTTGTAAGTGATCTGTTTCTTGTCTCTGACGGCTTTTAATATTCTGTTCTTATATTGGATTTCTGGAATTTTGATTATTATATGCCTGGGTGTAGTTCTCTTTGGGTGGAAGATGGCTGGGGTCCTGTATGCCTCACAGATCTGAGTATCTTTACCTTTTCCCACATTAGGGAAGTTCTCCTTGATTATTTTTGTGAATAGCCTTTGCAGTTCATTTGTTTGTATCCCTGTTTCTTTACATTCTTAATTCTTAAGTTATAGATCCTCTTATCATCTTTGAGCTTTTGTATTGTTACTGCTTGTTTCCTTGTTATTTTTAAGAATTTTTTTCTTTTCACACTCGCACATTACAAATCTGTCCTCCAGTTCAAATAATCTATCCTTAGTTTCTTTCAAGCTGTTATGTCAGTTTTCAATAGAGTTTTTAGTTTCCCAATAGAGTTTTAGTTTAATCTCTTTGAACCTACTTCATGTATTCTACATTTTCTCTATTTTCTCCATCAAACAATTCTCCCCTTTTTTTCTGTTGTTCCATTCCATCATCTGTTTTTTCTTGGGAGGTGCTTAGCATTTCTTTAACTATTCTACTTATATCTTGCTTTACTTGGTTAAATACTTCACTTTTGAACTCGTCAATGAGGTCCTGGAGATATCACTTTATGTCTGTTGGTGCCATGCCTGATATTGCATGTTTTCTGTCCTCATTCTCTTTTGCATTTACCTTTCCTGGATCAGTGTTCTCAGGATTGGGGACTGAGGACCCTTTGTTGTTGCTCCCTCTTCCCATACTTTTTGTTCCTTCCATACAAGCGTATGTAGGAGGCCCAGTTTCTTTCTTTGTCAGTTACAGTTTGTTTGAATCACACCAGCTAGGTGTTCCCACCCACTGCAGTGTACTAGTGAGACACAGACATGGCAGCCTATCCTGGGCCCGCCCCTCCAGGTCAATCTACCTGCTGAAGGCTTCACTGCATTAGGGTGCACTGCCAGGCACAGGGACCTGATTTGGGTTAGCTAACTGGGTCTTAGTCACGGCGTCACCCAAGTCAAGTGCTCCCCACCAATCCCGCTTGAGAGGAAAATATGTGACTGAAGTCACTGCAGTGTTCTGTTCCAGCTAGTCTGCCCGGTCCCAGACTGTCCTCTGTTGGAGCCTCCTAGTCTATAGAAGGTCCCCGTTCCTCTCACTCACCACAGGTCGATGCAGGGCTCCCCGCCAGTTCTGCTCTCAGTTTGATTCGCAGATTCCTACTCTCAGACCTTTTGCGACTCTATCCCCGCTGTGCCGATTCAGATGCAGCAGCAGTGACAGGAAATTTAAATTGCGGTTTCCAGAGGCATGGGTTCCAGCTTTGGCACTGAGACTTTAGTTGTTCCAGTCATAGCACCAGGACTGCATTTCCAGTTAGTTTCTCTCAGCTTAGTTCGTTCCTGGTTCAGCAGGGTATCCCCCTGCTTAGGACTCCCCATACCGCACCATTCCTGGAATCTAAGCTGGCTATCTCAGAGAGCCTCTGTAGCTATTGTTATCTATCTGCCATGTTCTCCTGGAAGTCCAGTATTATGTGCTGATATATTCAATTATAGTATGTGTGATGATATAGCCAATTCATTGCACAGCTTGAGGGTCTTTCCTGCATAGGCTGTAGCTTGTGGAAGTCACAGAAAGCAGCCCATCCAGGTAGGGTCCTCTCCACAATGTGCTAGGTGCAAGCACTTTGACGCCATGACACCGCAGGGTATCTTAAAATTATCAATTAAAAATGCTTATTTTTGTCTTACTTGCAAATTATAGTCTAATAACCTTGCATTTTAGTAAAACTGGTCAGATTAATACTTGATAGGAAAAGTTTAAATCTTTGTGATCTTTTGTCAGTGCTTTATGAATATTTTGGTTATAAAAGACTTCAGCAGACATTGAATTATTATTATTATTGTGTTTTTACTTATTTGTAGGATTTGATTTTTGGGATCAGTTGGGTCAGTGAGTTGGTTAACTGTCTTAAATAACAGCTCTCTAGAAACTGATTTTCTTTTTTTCCCCTTAATTTTGACATTGTTACATCCATGCAGTCTTTTTCATGCTGCCAAGTAAGTAACACTGTCCCTGTTTTCATTTATTTGCAGACTATGTTTGAAAAGTTACTGTGAATAGACTGGTAAAGTTTTTCCAAGTTACAAATTTGTGCATTCTAAATTATTTTGTATCAATGTAAAGAAAATTGTTATTTTCTTTTTAGTGGAACCAAATACCCCACACCCACAGTTAAAGGAGAAGAGGTTTACTTTAGTGTCATTTTGTGGATGTCAGTCCATAGTTGGCTGGCTCCGAGGCAGGTTGGGATGGCCGAGAGGCATCGTAGAGGAAAAACGGTCTGTGGTGTTGCAGGCAGGAAGCAGCAGCAGCGGCCGCCTCCTCTTTATCCCATTTGGCCTAGAAGCCTACTGGTTAGTACCACCCACCTCTAAGGTGAGCGTCCCCATTATTCACTCCCAGAACTATGCTAACCCCATCAGTGGACCAATTTAGTTATCACTCAGGTGCAGCCAGCTAGGAAAAGCCCCACGGTGAGCAAATGCGGCTGTGGGGCATCTAGATATAAGCTGTGATAGCTGTTTTCATTTGCTTTGATCTCTAACTGAATCCTAAAAGCTAAGACACTTACACATTTCTAAAATTAATGTTAACAGACTGGCAGCATTTTAAAAATTATATTGTAAGATACACATTTAAATTAAATTCAGCACAGTGTTTTGGTGACTGTTTTGTTCAGTAGCCTGGAGACATTGGTGAGGCAATTCCTCCTTCCCCTTTCAGGTTACTCCCTGCCTGTGGAGAGCAGGGAGGGATCCCGCTTTTGTGGAAACTTATTTTAAAACTTAGATTTCAGTTTGTCAAATTAAGCTTGAGGTTGTCATTTAACCTTGCTGAGCCTTACCTAACTTTACATCTACAAAATAAAATGTCTTCAACTCAGTGTTTGCTGTTCCTCAGGCATCATTGACCAGGAAAATAAAACCCAGCACAGTAGGGTTGCGGAGCAGCCAAGTCTGAAGTGACACATTGTGACATGCCCTTTCACTAGAGTCCCTTCCCCCCAGGCCTGCACCCTTAGTTCACTGAGACTCACCAGGGAAACTGTCTTGTCTTTGCAGAGCCTACGAGCAAGCCGGCATGATGCTGAAGGTCAGTCATGTTCTTGTTATGTCACAAATGTTGTGTAGGTTAAATGAATTGGCTTCAGGGTGTTGGCCTAGAATTTATGTGGAGGTTGAAAAGTTTCCTTATAATAAAGCAAGAGATGCTAAGATAAGATCTGCTGTCCTGGGCAGTGCTGATTGGACACGTAGGGTATGTTCTTTGTGTCTTCAGGTGGGGAGTGTTAAAAGTGAAATGCGGGAGAAATGGGTCTTAGGGAATCAGGAGCGGGAAGGTCCGAGCTGTGTAATGGGACAGATGTGCACTGCTAGGAGGAAAGAGCAGTGTGTGAGCTCTCCCTGCCCTGGAGAACTTCAGAATGTCTTGAGATAGTAGAAGCTGTACAGTGTTTCCGTTCGTTGTGGGTTAGAAAGAGGTTTTGGGGCTGGGGATTTAGCCCAGCGGCATAAGCGACTGCCTTGCAAGTGTGCGTTCATGAGTTCGATCCCTGGTACCGATTTAAAAAAAAAAAAAAAAGGAGGTTTTTGTTTATTTTATAATTAGGTTTTTGCTTATTTTATAAATGTCACTTGGCAGTAGAGAGAATCAGAGACTTCAGCTATTGCTGTTTTACCTGATTTTCCTTGAATGGGATATTTTGATGAAGGTGTCACATTTCTGCTTATTAAAGCAAGCTAGGAAGTAATATCCTGTTGTGGTAAATGGGAACATCCTCCTGTAAGACAGACTCTCGCAGTAGGCAGGGTGGTAAATAAAATGAAATATTTCCCTTTCCATTTTTATATGCGCTTTCTGATGTGGTACAAGTTATTTGAATTATTTAAAGTTTTTAAGGCTTTGTTTTAAAAACTTACACTTTAGTAAATATCTTGATTACTTTTCTCTGGTTGCTGGGACAAAATACCTGACACCCAAAATGAAGGGAGGGAAAGGTTTATTTAGCTCACTGTTGTGGAGGTTTCATTCTATAATCAGCTGGCTCCAAGGCAGGGTGGCCTGGCACCGGGGCAACACTTAAAAGCAGCAGCCAGAGCAGAAGGAGACACAAGCCTCTTTTCCTGGCTTATGTTGCCGCTCTCCTTTAGGGGCGGGTGTAGCACTCACAAAATCTCCTTGCCCTGCTTTGCACAAGATGAGGATATTTACAAAGAATGAACCCTGGCTCCCTGCTGAGTCAGTTAAATTACCAAGCTTCTTAAGTTGACACAGTACATCAACCATAACAGAAAGGTTTTTGTTTTCTGTAACTTTGGTGCTTTGAGAGAGGATCTCACTTTGTAGCCCAGGCCTAGCTTGAACTCACTGTCCTAGCCACCTGAGGGCTGGAATTGTAAGGGTGTGCCATCCTGTCCAGCTTTCTGTGACTTAACTGATACTGTTCAGTGAGCGCATGCTCATTGTAGAACATATATAAACACTGAAGAGAATAAGGAATGTCAGTAATAGCTGTTAACATACTTAAAAGTTTTCATTGCTTTTGACGCAGCAATTTTAGTTCTAGGAATCTATCATAAAGAAACAAAATATTTGTACATAAACATGTTTATAGAAAAACAATTATCTAAAATTTTTAATAGAATTTTAAAAATGTAATACTTCTGATGAGTTGTTCATATGCATTGGAATAAAGCCTTTCCTGCTGAACATGCAGCAGAGTTGACATTAGGTGACACAGTTAAATGACCAGCAGCAGAGAAGCCAGGAGTGCATTCTGATCTCCTGTTTTCTGGCAGCTAGGAAACTCCAGGCAGTTCTTATAATCTCATTGCACCTTGTGTCTGTTTTTAGGGTACCGTCACTGCCTCCATTTATATTCAGTCAGCAGTGCTAAAGTGGTTCAAGCATCACCTCGTTGCTCAAGTACCTGTTTAATTTGAGGTTGGAAATGCAGTATTCTGAGGGCAGGGAGACACTGGATGGGTGGAGAAACAAGAAAGAAGACATTGTGTGCAAGTCTGGCATTGAGATGAAATGCCTTGGACAGATGTGGGTGTTACAGGTTCCTGAGGCTGCAGGTCATTCTGTGGGCTGATGTAGTCTGCACTGTGGCCTGCAGAGCTGCTCAGTTATGTGTGGCAGGGAGTGGCACCTTGGAGACCAAGCCCAAGAGAAGGCCTTGGGGTGACTTGGGATTTCCTGTCCTGTTTGCTCTGTGGAACTGTGCAGTACCAGACACACAAGCCGCTACAGAGAGGCAGCTGACAGTGAAAGGTACTGCTTTTAGTTTGGTAGTGTGGCATTTTTCCAAAAAGTATCAGTGTTGTGGTTGGACGCTGGTCACTCACAGACTTCTTGGTTTAAAGCAAAGTAGGGAGGTGTACAGTTGTTCTTCCTTAAACCTAGGTCCCAGTGACACCTCTTCATTCTGCTTCTGCTGCAGTCACTGCTCTGTATGCCCTGTGTTCTTCTTGTTCTTGTGTCCTTGGTGTTTATATGCTGGAGTACTCGGCATATGTTTCATAAGTGGATTGGTGAATTATGGGAAGGAATAGTCTATAAAAGTGACAATGACCCCCTAGGACCAGTTTTCCCAGATAGCCTTAACCATGTGCCAATCCAAAGACTTGGATTCTCTTACTGAACTTTGATTTCTAGAACAAAGGAATGTTTTTATCACAGCTTGGGAATATAATGTATTCCACTTGAGTAATCATGGATAGCGGCCTTAGTTCATGTAGTGTCTTTCAGGCTGTCTTGGTGATCGTTTCTATACCTAAGTAATAACCAGTTCTACCTTAGAGCTGGTAAGAAGGAGAGCAGCAGCTTCCCTGGACACATCTGCGTGTTTGTCACCTCAGTGAGGGGCTAAACAGGCCAGGCTAACCGCAGTCCGTGACCTGCCGGCGCACCTGCTTCCCCACACACGTTCACCCTAATCCGATACCTCCTGTGACCTTTACATGAACCTCTGAGTGATGTCCACTTTCAGTTTATTAAAAAAGTTTCGATTTGGAGATATTAAGGCCAAAAGACCTGGGCCTCACAGAGCGAGAGTAAGACAGAGAATTTATTCTGTGGGTGACAGCTTGGCTGAGGCTGCGGACTCTGGACCTGGTGGGCACAGGGGATGCTGGGTGAAGAGGCAGTGGGGCAGGGGCCGTGGACAGGCGCTGCCAGTCCTGGGCAGCGCCGCTCCGGATGGAGCTGCAGCTGGGAGCATGTGCTGCTGTTGCTGTAGCTCTGAGTTTTGTTTTGTTTTGTTTTTTTGAAAGAAAGCTATAAAACAAAATTTCTGCGGTTTCTGACTTGGAAATACTGTGTGCGTCAGCCAAGGCGCCCGAGTGGAGCAGCACTAGGGCAGCTCGCCTGCGGCCCTGTTAAGGAGCTGTAGGCACACAGGAAGAAGTAGTAGGGACAGTGCCTGAGCTTCCCATGGCTGTGGGGCCCCTGGAAGTCGGAAGGGACGTGACAGCTGGGCCTTCGCAGAGGGGCTGGTCAAGGCCTCCCGTGGCGGTGGCAGGAGCCAGCCATGGAGGTGTTCGCACAGAGAGCGTGTGATTCAAATGTACACGAAGTGATCAGGCTTCCGCTTGTTGACCATGTTATGTGCTGTGTTCAAAGGAGATGCAGAAGCTGCCGGAGGCCGTCCAGCTGATTGAGAAGGCCAGCACCATGTACCTGGAGAACGGCACGCCGGACACGGCCGCCATGGCGCTGGAGCGCGCGGGGAAGTGAGTGCTGAGTGTTGAGTGCTGCCCATGGGCTGCGCCCCAAGTGGGCTCTCTGTGCCTGTCTCACTGCGTCCCGCTTTCTTGTCTGATTCAGGCTCATAGAAAATGTAGACCCCGAGAAGGCCGTGCAGCTGTATCAGCAGACAGCCAATGTGTTCGAGGTGGGTTTGCAGCTGTTCCTCCTTAACTACTGGGCATTAGACCACAGCGCACCGCAGACGGGCCCGTGGTGGAGTTGGGGAGCCTTTCCCGCTCACCGCTGACCTCTGTCCCCTTCTTCTTGTTAGAGAGCAGTGATGACGCGGACTGGCAGCTCCGGTGCTCCAGCCGGTGCCCTTGCTCCTTGTAGTTACTGTGGAAGGATGAGAAGGCTCCACAGTTCAGCACCCAACACTCCCTTTTCTTTGATTCCCTCAGAATGAGGAGCGCCTGCGGCAGGCGGTCGAGCTGTTGGGAAAAGCCTCGAGGCTGCTAGTCCGGGGCCGCAGGTGAGTCTCTATGGCTGCGGACCGAAGTTAGGAGGGCCGTGCCCCAGGGCGCAGCCCATCCATCCGTCTTGCTGGCATCAGCCTTAGGCACAGCAGGTCACCTGGGGGAGATCTGGCACCTGGGAAGCCAGGCATCAGGAGGTCCGTGTTTCCAGGGTGCACTGCCCACGTTTACCACGCATTGTTTTTTACTGGGTCAGAGGAAAGCGAACAGTTTTCTTCATTTGTTACTTAGTTTAAAATGTTTCTTTCTTGAGGAAATATATATGTATTGGGATAATAGACAGGAATGCTTAAAATCCTCGCCCATGAAAATTGAGTTTCTTAAGAGTCAAATTTGACCAGGATCTGTATTTTTTTTATCCTTGAAATATGTGACTTAAAGCACAAATTGCTGGATCCTGGAAAGCTAAGCTCCTGCTGGATCTCTTCTTTCCGAACCTCTTTTTTACCTCAATTTATGCTTGGCACACAATTTGTGTAATTGATAAAATTCTGCTTGCCAACTTCTCATGTAATAATACAGTATTTAAGATAAACACCCTCAGCAGGTTGTAAATTTGGAGATGAATATGGTTTGGTTTTTGAGCAGGGTCTTGCTGTGTACTTTAAACTGGCCTTGAACTCACTGTGGAGCCCAGGTGGCCTCTAACCCTGACTAATCCTCCTGGCTCAGCCTCCCAAGTACAGGCATTATAGGCACGTACCACCACACCCAGTTTGGAGACAGATATCTTAATTAAAACTTGCATTTAGCTCTCTGGTGACAGAAAAAAACACAGATTTTTTCTTATCTTAAAATAGAAATGACTACTGAATCTCTCAGTCCCTTTCTAAGACTGCAATAATTTTTTTTAATGAAGATTGTAGATTCTAAACTATGATTCAAACATGTTTAGAATAACTTGGACATAAACCTTGAATTAACCTTTGTCATGTTCTCATTTAGATACAGCACTCTGTTTATATAAAGGCCTTTCCATTGATTAGGTTTTTGTAGGTCTAAATGGAATAGAAATTTCATTGTGCTTTTATAGTGAAGCCTATTGTATTCCAACAAACAGATTCATGAATCACTCCTGTTGTTACCTTGTTTGTTCTGCTGGCCATTGGTTCCCAGAAATGCAAATGACTGAAACATGAGCTCTCAGTAGTGGCCTTGGTCTCTATACTTCAGACAGAAACCAACGGGGGACTCTGGGCCGAGCAGAGTGGCTGACCTGCAGTTCACCTAGATTCCACTGCCAGTGAGGCGGCCCCAGCTGGAAATAGAAGGAGTCCTGTGCTCCCATCCAAGCCGGACAGAGCATGGTCACGTCCAGGCCTGCTGTTGTTCCTCTCTCTGGGGAGTGCACAGGACCCTCCCTGTCAGCCCACTGGAGGGGGAGTGAGTTGCAGGTGGTGGTGAAGGCTTCGAAGGCCAGACCAGCCTGCTTGGGCTCCCCAGTGAGAGAGACCAAGCATTCCCTGTAACTCCCTGTAAACTCCATAGCCCGCTCCCTGCTGTGTAGAGGTGGAGGAGGTTCAGGTGAAGAGGAGTTCCCACTGCTCCCTGTGCCGGTCCAGCCCTTGTAGGGGCGGCGCTGGTCTCATCCTGCAGATCTTCCCAGTGGGTATGCACAGCCGAATGGCGCAGCACTGTGACTGTCACCATCATTGTCACTGTAACCGGAGGTTGTGTGGGTAGTAGGCGCACGGCCCTGCCTGGATGTACTGGGAAGGGATCCTGTGCTCACCTCAGGGCTCCTTTTACTAACTTTTTTTAGTAAAACGGCATTTTGAAATGAAACTTTGTGCAGTGTTTGAACAAAAGTCAGCTTATGGAAACACAGTTTAAAATTATTTAATGTAGAAGTTGATGTGTGCTTGCTTAGGCACATGATAGAATTTGTTCCTGTGGAAAGCGTCCCTGGGTACGAGAGAAGTAAAAGCCCACTGGCATGGTGCTTGTGCTGAGATTTTCAGCAGTGCATGGTAGCAAGAAACATCGTGTCCCCCACAGAGATACTTAGGCCTGTTCCTGGGATCCAAGGCTGCTCAGGTGGTCATCTGCCTGGAAGGACTAAAACAGATGGCAGGTTCTGACGTCCCATGGATGACATCTAGTGCAGGATGGCCTACTGCTCTTGGGTCCATGTGAACCTCAGACCCTGTGTGGCCGTGACTTAGCGCCATCATCGGCACTGGTATGGCAGCATCAGCCCTGCTTCACATCTCATGCTGTCAGCCCTCAGCCCTCCTGCCAGCTCCGACACGGCTCAGAATCCCACTTAGGCGCATCTGAAGCAACCTCGTCCTTTGCTGCAAGCTGAGAGGACTGTGCCTCTGAGCGAGACCCTTCTCACCCAACCTAGGAGTGGGACTTTCTGGTCCCCACAACTGCACAGGGCTGAGAAGCTCAGGTGGGAATGGGACAGGAAGGCTGAAAACTTGCAGGCTGCGAAAGCAGGCCTGGGAGTCTGAGACACAGCTGGAGCAGGCACATCTGGGTGATTGTGAGAGGCGGGGAGGGAGGAAGTCCCCACAGTCTCCTGTCTCCTGGGGTGATTGCTGTGGCCAGGGCTTGGGTTCATTTTATTTGGGTCTGATTCTTTTAGTTACTGGAAGACAAAAACAACTGATTCTCTTCCAGATACATTTTATCAAGAGAACTAAGAATTTCTGGACGGGAAAGTCAGGGTCATTTCTGTTGCACTGTAAGGTTGCCAGTTCTGCGGACTTTAGCAAAGTTGATCAACTTTTTTGGCTCCAGACTCTTAAAATGCACTGGGCTACTTTTATGCCAATGAGCTAAATAACTTGTGGAAGAGCGTAGCTTCTGTTTTATGTGTGTAGATGTACGGCCCTGTGTTCCTGCCAGAGTTTGGAAGCTGGACGTGACGGGCAAAGGATGCTGTCCGTATGGTTTTTTGTGAAGCAGGGTCTGTGCGAGCACATGCTCACTGCCACAGGGGGCCAGTGGGGCTCTGAGCGTTAACTTTCCTTTGTTGTAATGAATCACCAGCAGTCCCTGGTTACCTCATGGTTAGGGTGAGATCGGAGTGTGGGGTGGACGGGCCGCCATGGCATCTGAAGGGTGCCCACCCAGGCTCACTGAGCATTGGTAGAATCTGTTTCCTTGCCATTGTTGACCGAGGTCCTTGGTTGCTCATGGTCTCTTAGCCATGCTCAGCTCTCGTGGTCCCTCGGTTCCTCAGCCTGTGCCCCACAAGAGCCTCTGCTGTGATCCTAACTGCAGGCGGCCCACGCCCAGGCAGACCTGCCCAGCACGCCCCATGGGCATGGAACCCAGGAGGGTGCCCACCTTGGCCAGAGTGGTGTGCGCCCCTGTGGGGCTTTCCGGGGGCTTCTGTGCAGTACTCTTGCCACATGTAGCCAAGAAGATGACATGCTCCCAAAAGGATGTCAGGGTGACCTTTGGACCTTGAGGATGCATTTTGGAGGGTGCACTGGAGTGGGCAAGAGCTCGTCTGTCCAATGCAGAGAAGCCTGGCACTGAGCTGGGCTGTCCTCTGCATTCACAGGGCGGTCCTGGGACTTAATAGGTGCTCGATGGTGGCCGGCACCATGCATTCCTGATGCACAGGCCAGAGGCAGGCCAGGCCTGAAGTGGAGCAGAGTGGGCACTAGCAGCCATCCTCTGTCACTCTAAAAGCTCCTAAAGCACCTCACGCAGACCTGTCTTGTTTACATTTCTTGTTCTGTTTTCAGGTTTGATGAGGCGGCGCTCTCTATTCAGAAGGAAAAAAACATTTATAAGGAAATTGAGAATTACCCAACTTGCTATAAGGTACTCTTTGAAAGTGCTCATTTTTAGTTTTATAGTAGGTAGTTTTTCACACTGGTTTAAATAAATACCCAAAAAAGGATTCTGTGGTGTGTTTCTGTAAAATAGCCCTTTGTGGGCTTCTCTTTTGTACCTGTGCCATTGCAGTCTTGCTGGTCTCGCTGACTGCAGTTGGAACTGTGGGGTAAAATACAGAAGGCAGTTGCCCACTGCACAGCGAGTGACCTGAGGGGTGCGAGCACTCTGCGGACACTAGGTCAAGGAGCCAGCTTCTGGGGCTCCCCGAGAGAAGCCTTAGCAGCAGAGGCCACAGCAGCCTCGCTGCCTAGAAGCCTAGCCACGTGGCCAGCCAGCCAGCCACAGCCCTGTGTCCTCACTGCTTGGCATGGCTCTGAGGTTGAGCCCCAGTGGCACCCGGGGGACTTGGACAGGGGAGAAGGAGAGGGAAAGGGCAGTGATGGGAACCCATTAGAGCTCTCAGTGACATGGTCCTTTCAGCACCGCTGCCCAGAGCCTCCCAGAGCAGAAGAGCAGTGTCTGAGAGGAAGTTGGACTGCAGCCCTGTAGGGTTTATCAGTGCGGCCTGCTCTCTGCTGTCCACTTACATGTCACTGAGTTACAGGTGCAGCTGTAGAGTTATGGGTCCCCTCCTCTTTCTCCTCACGGTTGTACGGCTACTCAGTTCTCTGCGAGGCATGCGGTGCTCTGAGGCTGTGCAGGCCCGAGTGGCACTGCAGCTTGCAGAGTCGGGTCTCTAGCAGCTGGAGAAATCCTCCAGGAGGTTTTCTCTCGTGTCTTTGAAACTTACTGCCGAATTTATAAACCTCTGTATAGACCAAGCCTGAAAGTTAGATATTAGAGCTCTGCTCTGTGAGACAGCTGTGCATTCGGACCCTGATTCTCCTTTTCATTTCAGAAAACCATCGCCCAGGTCCTGGTTCACCTGCACAGAAACGACTATGTGGCTGCGGAAAGGTGTGTCAGGGAGAGCTACAGGTGAGCCCCCTGCCCCCGAGGTGTGTCTCCCCCTAAGCTCAGGTTGCACAAACGAATGGCTGTAGACTTTGAATAAATTCTCTAATGAAAGTAGTCCTCAGCCACCTTTTTGGTTTAGTCATTTTCTTACCTGTGTTTTTCTCCTGGGAGTTTCCATGAAGTCAGTGACTTTAGACATTCTGTTGCGTTTGCCTTGTAAGAAATCAATTGCAAAGGAAAGAAAGTGCGGGGATAGAGCTCAGTGGCACAGGCGCCTGCCTGGCAAGTGCAGGGTCCTGAGTTTAATTCCTGACACCAAGAGAAAGGAAAGCACAACACTGTGTGTTGCAAGATTGGCCTGGGGCACCTGTTTGGGCCGCATGATTCCTTCAGGAGCGCCCTGCACACCACAGGTGTGGAGCAGCATCCTGGCCTCCACCCCAGGCAGGTGCCTGTGGAGCCTACTGGCCGTGACTTTGTCATGGGGGCGGTGAAGCAGCAGGCACTCTGTCCCCACAGCATCCCAGGCTTCAATGGTAGTGAGGACTGTGCGGCGCTAGAACAGCTCCTCGAGGGCTACGACCAGCAGGACCAGGACCAGGTGTCAGAGGTCTGCAACTCGCCACTCTTCAAGTACATGGACAACGACGTGAGTGCTGTGGGCGGGGAGAGGCTCTGCCTCAGGCTGTGCTCCTAGAGAGCCAGCCACAACCACTCGACTCTGCAGCCCTCTGAGGGCTCATCAGCTATGGGACCACAGCATTTTTACTTTTGTAAATTAGCTTATTTTGTGGTACTGGGGATTAAACCCAGGACTTTGACACTAAGTTGCATCCCTGGTCTTGTATTTTTTATCCTGAGACAGTGTCTCACTAGGTTGCCCAGGCTGATCTGGAACATTGGGACCCTCCAGCCTCGGCTACCCAGAGTGCTGGGATATATATAGCTGTGTACTACCACACCTGGCTCAGGGTAGTAGTTTTAATTTACCCTTAACTCTTAGCCTGTCCTTCCGTCTCTGACCCTCTGAGGCCTTTTAGTTAGTAAGTTCTTTTCTTTAGGCTTCTTGTGTGGGAGAGGCCCAGGATGTGGCCTGTGCAGTGCCATTCGTGTGATAGCTGCTGGCTGGCAGAGGCTGTTGTTGATGTCCCCACGCCCCAGCCGGCCCACCTGCAACAGGGTGCTCCTAGTGTCTGCCATGGTGGAGCTCGAGCAGACTCTGGCCGGCCGGGGGTGAGAAGGGCCCTGAGTGCACACTGGGAGCCGTGGCCAGGGCCTTCCGCAGTCTGTTTGTGAGCAGCGGCTTAGCGTCATTGAGTCAGGCGGCTGGAGGCCATGCGTGCATTACAGTGACACAGGTGGGGAGGCTCCTTTTCCGCCTGAGTTCTGAGTCGTGCTTTTGTGAATTTGTGTGGATTTTAACTTTGCTCCTTGCATCTCCTCCCGTGGGCTCAGCTGTACTTCCTTGGGCCCAGGGGTGTGACCTGGAATGTCTGCGTCATCTCAGTTCTCGAGGGTGACTCGGAGTTGGGTGGTAGTCCTACGCTGGCACATGCCCTAGGAGACAGCACTAGTGGGGTTCACGGGGGCAGAGGGCGAGGCTCTGTGGTTAACCCCAGGTCTCCAGCTCACAGTCTGTTGTGCCCCAGCAGCTGGGCCTGAGCTTGGCGGCTCCACTCCAGGAGCCCCTGGCTGGGGTCCCCTTGGCGCTCACGGACCTTCTCACCTGTCCTTGACAGTACGCCAAACTGGGCCTGAGCCTGGTGGTCCCAGGAGGAGGAGTCAAGAAGTCGCCAGCTGCACCCCAGGCCAAGCCAGATGGCATCGCCTCTGCAGCCCCTGAGGAGGAGGAAGACGAGTATTCAGGAGGCCTGTGCTAGATTTTGCTTAGAAAAGAAAGGGGCAACGAAATGGACCTGAAACTCACTGAAAATTACGCTTCCATGAGGTCGTGATTTTGCATATTAATAAAGACATCCTTAGTTACCATTCCCCAAGTCAGCTATTGTACCTACTACTGGGAAGCGTTTTCCTTTCCTTTCCACTGTAAGAACAGAGGATGTACTGTCCCATTGTAATATAATTGATTTTAAAATTTGCAAGCCAAATTCGAGACAAATCGTACCCTAAAGAAAAGGGTTGGTAGGTACCAGTCCTCTTCCTTGCTTGTGTTCCTGTGATTTATTGTATGAGGATTTTCTTTGTGTTTTATTTAATGTTGCTGCTAAAAGTGAAGTTTGCCAGTAGAAATACTATCATGTTAAGAACTTGCCTCGTTTTGAAAAGGAAGTTTATCCCCCATAATTCTAGACGGATTTAAATTTTAAATCTTCATCAGAGCCAAGATCAGGTTTGGGACTTGCAGTATCTAGCGCCCATGAAAGATGCATATAAGCTTTTACATGATAGTTTTGAAGTCCTTCTCTTAGGGCAGTGCTGCTGCTCCCTGAACTCTGCGGTGTGGAGGATTCGGGCATCTCCAGGACGCAGTGACTCCTGGGAGCTGCCTGGCCGCGGAGCACGGAGCCTCCTCCTCAGAGGAGCTGGTCGCGTCCCACTGTCCCCGCCAGAGAAGAGCTGCTTCGGGCCGGCACCAAGCTTGGAAACAGCACACTACAGAGGCCTGGCCAGCAGGGAAGCGGCTGCTGGCCTCTCCCAGTTAGTGGTTCCTGATGTTACTTCTGAAGCGTTCCTTTTCACCCCGCATGCTTAGACCTGCCACTTTGTGTCACCTGAAAGGAGAAAGAGGGCCACGGTAATGTGTGCCCTCCGGCCCTGCCTCCAAGCCAGTTTCCTCTCCCTCAGGCCTGTCCCCTTAGACTCCTCCCTGATTGACTAGCCTGCTTTGTCTTCCTGGGCTTCCTGAACAGGAGGGTGCTCATGACCCTGGTCAGTGGGTGGACACTAGTGTGGCTCTGCCTGGGCAGCCGACAGCGCTGGCAAAACTCACACTGCCCCAGGGCACCCCTCGGACGTGGCAGCTCAGTTACCCACTCTACCGAGACAGTGAATAGTGTGGTACGACTGTAGGGAGGCATTTTTAGTTCAGAAGAAACTAAGCTTTCAAAGATCCCCTCACTGCTGCATACATCCTTTTGGTCCATTCAGAAACTTCTAGAGTCTTCTGCTGGCGCCTTTGAGCAAACTAGCAATCCATGTGAGCAGGGTGGCAGTGCTCGCAGGTGCCTGGGCCGCCTGTTCACCGAGCACGTGACTCCCTGCGGCCTTTGGGGCCACGGAGAGCTTAGTTAAACCTTGAAGACAACGGGAATGACCTGGGCAGGGCAGTGCTGCAGGGGACGCCGCCCACCCTGTGCCAACACTGGTCACCGGTCACTGGGTGCCGGCCCAGAGTGTGCTCCGGTCAGGCCAAGCCTGCGCTATCTGCAGAGCTCCTGATCCACACCCAAACGTGGGATCTTCCCATGTGACGGTCTCTCCCGAGAGCAGTTAACAATGTTTACAAGGAGGGCATCCCCGTGTCTTCACGTTAGCAAGCGAGGGTCTGCGTGGGTGTGTCCAGAACCCGGTGCCCGCGTTCTGCACGGTTAATATATTGAAGTTACTTGTACACACGCAGAGGTGGTGTTTGTGGATGTAACCTGTGCTCTATTCCTATTTTTTTTCCAGCTCTTTGATGTTAAATGTGTTGTTACAGATTACTGCTTCTCTAAAGAAGATAATTATAAACATAAAACCAGAAACTAAATAAATGAAGTCTTTATTTTGTTTGCTTGTTCTTTTTTTTCAAGGATAGTGCCTTATTTATATGGTCTCAGCTATATTTTATAAGACTATTTTTTTTCTCTTCTGATGTATTTTCTGCTTCGGCTTTGGGAGTCAACCCTCCCTTGTGAAAGGGAGTCAGCCTTTCACCTGGTGAAAGTTAAGCTTGTTTGAGTTCTTTAAAATACCACTCAGCTACTGTCACCCTGCTGTAAAACCCACCAAAGGGTGAGGTGCACTAAGGCATCCTCTAGGAGGACGGCTGTTCCCGGGCTGAGTCAGACGGTGTGACACGAGGAGGCGATTGAGCAGCTCTGACACGCGATGCCTGTGGACTTGGCTGCAGAAGCGCCTGTGCGTCCAGAGACACTCTCTGATGCTGTGCAGGGTTTCCCCACACAGGGTGGAATCTGTCCTGTACACTGGTGCCTGGGTTTAGGGGACATCATAATAACCAGAGGGAACCCAGGAAACACAGGGCAATGAGTTCAAGACACTAAAAATGCTTGGTGGGAAGCAGACCACAGAGAGAGATGCTGGTTTGGAAAGAGCTTGCACCTTCCGTCTGAGTGCACGGAGGGCACTCCTATGGCGGCTTGTCAGCGTGTGGACTTCCCAGTTCCTTGGGAATTAGTGGGTACAAACTTACTAATTCTTTCTCTCTTAAGCAAAAGGTGACAATACTTTACATATTTCCTTATATTCTTCTAAATCATTTAAGAGGCCTAATTTTTAAGGGCCTTGAATTTCAAAAACTTTATAAGCGCTTATCTCTTACAAAGCTAACTTACCCAACACACACATGCCAAATTGAGCTTTCAAATCTTTAGATACTGTTGGTGGGTTTTGAAAGTTTCTTTCTCTAGTAGAAATCATGGCGGTGGTCAAACGAGGCGAGGCCAAAGCAGGAATGCCTACCACTTCCTGCTTCTTCCCCAGCTCCTGTTTGCGCAGGAAGCAAACTCCAGCTCCTCGCCCTCATCAGTGCCCGCCCTAAGTGCCACCTCCTGTCAGAGTTTGTATGTATATCCCATACCCCACGTTGCAGTTAGAGAAAGCCCCCACGGTCATGGAATTCTCTCCATGTCCTTGGAATAAAGGCTATTTTTACTTTATATTCTCTCTTTCATCGCACCAAAAACTCTCATAATGGTGCCTGTGTGGCACACATGGCAGAGTGAGCGGCTCCTGGGGCCCCTCCCAGTTGGGGCTGCCCTGCCTAAGAACCACCCTTTTCTTCCTCCGGGACTGTTTCCTTGCTGCTGCTAATCTGCATGCAACAGCAACCTTCCTCACTCCACACCGGTGAGCTGCCATCTGTGCCTTAGCAAGCTTGTGACAGAAACCCATCCTGCCGTCCCCAGCAGGGATACCAGTTTTCATGCTCCTTAGGCCACACAGCTTGGGCAAGACTGACATTTATGTGCCCTGGGACCCCACCTCACACTCTTCCCTGAAGAGAATGGGTGTTGGGACTTGCCGTGTCACACTTTCAAAATAGGTGACGATCTCTTTTGTTGTGACCCATGACCAGCTTCCATGTCCCAAGGCGGAGTTGTTCTCTCAGCTCACTTATAATTCGGTCATGGGGACCACTTCCTGTCCCCCGAAAAACACACCTCTGGGGCGCCTGGTTCATAACCTTGGTGCTCTTGGCCTCTAAAGCTGATGTTTTATTTATGCTTTGTCACAATGGCGGCAAGCTGGCAGAACCCTTCATCTTTAGGCCTTTTCACTGTGAGGATGTGTCCTTCTCCCACTCTGTCTTCCGTGATGGCCCAAACACTTCTGGCTCGCTCTGCACCCCCAGGATCTCCCTCCCTGCCCACCGGACCCCTTAGATGAGGCGGCTCCTGTCTTCACTGCTCCTCCCCTGCATCTCTCATACCAAACCCGCAGCCTTCTCAGCCAGAGGTTTCTGTGTCCCCTGCACCGTCCTCTTCCCCTTCCTCACCCACAGCGGCCTCTAATCCTTCCCTTAGCGTCTCTCCTGGTCTCTAGCTTCTCAATCCCTCCTACCTGAGCCATCTGTCCTATCTGAGAGTTCTTTGTCCCCTTCCCCTGCGTCACCATTTCCTCTACTGGCTCACCATAGGTGGTCTCGGGCGTTCCAGCTTTCTGGCAGGCCACATGGTTGCCAGCAGCCATGTTGCTGCAGCTCATGTGGAGGACGTCTGCCATCACATGGCCATCTTACAATGGGTCCCAGGGTCAATGGCCACCCCCTTGTGGACTCTTGTGGGATCAGCAGCAGCTATCCAGCTGTGGGTCACATGATGGCCACCCACCATCTTGCACCCCCTACTGTGTTACCCGCAGCAGCTAGAGTGACCCACCAACAGCCTATATTTCCTTGTTGCATGGTGACAAGTGGCCATTTTATAGTCAGTCATTGGGTAATTGCCCACACATGCCTAGCAGACTGCTGGCCACTTGGTGGCTACAGCCTTCTCAGTCTCAGTCTCTGTTCCTGCTTCAGGAACAAGCTGGCCCTGTTCCTGAGGGATTAGGTGATAGTCATGTTCCTTTTTTCTTTTCTGAGCTATCTCAGATTAGCATAAATTAGGTTCCTTTTCTGGTATTCTTATTTCAAGAGATCTCTGTTAATTGATCTACAAAAAGGTCCACACTAGTGTATTTATTATAGTTCAAATTGGCCAAATATATTTGAGTACACTCTAATTTTATAAGATGATTGTCAGCCTATATATCTGTTGTCTATTTGCCTGCTCTGTAAACAGCTGTTTTCCTTTTATTTGAGCTCAACAATTTTTCCTCCTCTTTTGCATTTTCATATCATTTAATCAAGGTTTACCTGGGTTATAGATTTAAAAATCATGCTTCCACCTAGGTTGCCAGCTGCTCAAAATGATGCTAGAATTGGTTAAACAAAATCCCTTGGGATGAAGAGACATTGGACAAGACTCCAATCAATAAACATGAAAGTGGCCACCTGGTAACTTTAACCAGCTCTTGTTCATTAATTGGAGCCCCCAATAATCTCCATAGCCTTTTGGGACAAACCTCAACTAAAGTTCATATGACTAAGACAATTCATTGTTGCTGATCTGATTGTATATTCACACCTTCAAATATAAAATTAGGATTGTTTATGATGACAAGTGTTTTCTTTCAGATCCAGACATCTGCCTTTTTCTTGTGCTCCAGCCAGAAGATTCAGATCAGACCAACATGAGGTCACCAGTCAAATGATAATTTTTAAATAAAAATTCATATAATGTATATGTTATATTTAGAGATGCTTAAATAGTGAGCAGTCCAAACAATGTCACAAATTTCTTCAGTGCTCAAATGTTAAAATACCCATGATTAATAGAAAATAATAGTTCCATTTAATGTTCAATGTTAAGCTTACTGTCTCTACTGTACTGTACTGTTAGCAATCTTATGAATGTTCAACAACCAAAATTAAAAAATAATTACAAGTTCCCTTTTGGATTCCTTTTGCTGGGATCTACCAGATCTTTTCCAAGAAAGTTATACGATACATATTGGGGCCATAATTAAATATACTCAACTGGTATTAAATAACACTGCAGCTAATCTCTCTCCTACATAAAAAGGTAAAATTAGTGAAACAGGCCATTCTCCAAAAATCAGATGGCATTAGACATTCTAACAGCACAAGAGGTACTTGTACAATTATAAAACCTAAATGTATGTAATGACAAATGAATGATATGTCAGTTTCTAAAATTCCCTAGACCTTATTCTTATCTTCCTTATAGGAAGCTATTACTAAACTTATAAGTACCCTGTTCATTCTGTTATTTGACTCTTGCATACTTAATTGATTCTTTTTGCCTTTGTCTCCTTACACTTAAAGCTGTACACCTACCCAAGATAAAAACCAGATGTCTTGTGACTGTGGAGGAGACAGATGCCTTCCACTGTGGGCCAGATCCCAAGACAAAAGGCTAAACTTGGCCCCCAAACCCTCCAGGGAGTCCTTCTTAATACAGCTTTTCATGTTCTCAACAGCAGAGATAGAAATCAAAAGGAAAAATAACAATCTGATCTTTTAGCAGTGACACTTGGAGCTCTGAGACAGGTAAACCAACACAAGGTGGAGCTGCCTGAGCCCCTCCTGGACCATGCTTCAAGTGCAGCAAAGAAAGACACTGGGCAAGAGAGTGCCCCAACCCCAGTGTTCTTCTGGGGTCTTGCCCCTATTGCAATCTCAAGGGCCATTGAAAGAGCAACTGTCCTAGCCGCCAGAGAGCAGGTAAACCATCCTCGAACTCCTTGCCCTCATAGGGCATCTCATCACCACCAGATTCATCTCTGACTGACCTACTCAGACTTGCTGTTGAAGACTGATGGGGCTCTGGGCCCACAGCCCTCCATTAAGGTGTCCTCAGAGCCCCAAGTTCCACTGGAGGTCTCAGGTAAGACATCTCTGTACTTGTGGACATAGAGGCCATGTATAGGGTTCTTCTGAGCTTTCAGGCTGCTATCTTAAGTCCTGAATCTCTATAGTGGGTATTGATGGCCAACCTACACAGCCTTTGCAGACAGGGTCTGTTCCATGCAGGTTCCAGACTCACTTCTCTGATCAATCCCATAGTTTGAGATACCTCCAATCCCACCTGTGCTACCCATGCCCTGCCTATGTTAATTTGTCTCAGGGATCCTTCAATTTTCCTTGTGTTCCTCAATATCCCATAACTTCCAAAGATTTACAGGGACTTAAACCTATAATTAAGCGCCTTTTAGACAATGCTTTTCTTAAACCTACCCATTTACCTGATAATACTCCCATTCTCCTGGTACTCAAGCCTGATGTGTCTTCCCTTCTAGTGCAAGACCTTAAGATACTCAATAGTTCTGTTACCCCAATCCGCCCAGGGGATTATACCACGCTCTCTCATATCCCTTCCTCCACCACTCACTTTATAGTCATAGACCTTAAAAATGCCTATTTATTCCTTTGTGTTTATGCAGGCTGACCCAGACACTCTGAGGTCTCAAAAACTTACACC